CCCCCCCCCGAGGCCGGTCCCTGCTGCTGAGTGCGGGAACAAGGTTCTGAGGGGTTTTCAGCCATCAACTAAGCCGTGGTGGGAGGAAAGCCCCGTCCAAGCAGTGCCTGTGGTTTCTCTCCTCCCAGGTTATTTGGTGGGGTTGAGGGGGTGAGGTGCTGAGGTCCGGTTTGGGGGTGTTTTGGCTTGAGCGGGAGCCCGTCATTGCGGTGAGAGCTTCTAAAGTCTGTCGGTTTGGGTTTTTTTTTTAGTGTGCAAAGTGAAGGGAGGGGGTGTTTTAAACCAGGCGACTGGTTGGAGTAGTGGGTCCAGAGGAGGGCCGTGAAGATGATCGCGGGGTGGGATGGAGCACCTCTGCTGGGAGGAGAGGCTGAGAGAGTTGGGGGTGTTCAGGCTGGAGAAGAGAAGGCTCCGGGGAGACCTTACAGCTGCCTTCTGGTATCTGAAGGGCACCTACAAAAAGCTGGAGAGGCACTTTTTACAAGGGCATGTAGTGATAGGATGAGGGGGAATGGCTTCAAACTGGAAAAGGGGAGATTTAGACTTAAATATCGGGAATAAATTCTTTACTGTGAGGGAGGCGAGCCCCTGGGGCAGGTTGCCCGGAGAAGCTGTGGCTGCCCCATCCCTGGAGGTGTTCAAGGCCAGGTTGGACGGGGCTTGGAGCAACCTGGGCTGGTGGGGGGTGTCCCTGCCCAGGGCAGGGGGTGGAACTGGGTGGTCTTTAAGGTCCCTTCCAACCTAAACCATTCTGTGATTCTATGACTACAAGCCTCAACAGAGCAAAGCTGGCTTCTGTTGGTGACCCCAGGAGACTTAGTCCCTAACTGTGCTGTGTCAGCAGAGGCAAGAGACAAGTCTTCTGAAAAACAAGTTTGGTTTTTTTCCCCCTTCAGTATTCCCCAGCTAAAACCAATTAACACTCTTTGTGGCTGCTTTGGTGATAGGCTAACTGTGTGTGCTGGCAGCTGAAGCGTTGGTGAGGGTCTGTGTGAAGCATGGCAGCTGCATTTTGTTTGGAGTTTCAGGATCCTGTTGCTTTGCTGCAGTTTATCTCAACTGGAACAGTCTCCCTAAACTAATTAAAACCTTATTCCGCTTTGATAATGCGCTGAAACAGGCAGTTGTGATATTGCTTGTTTCTAAAGCTGCTTGGATAATAGCTTCAAAGCATCTTGCTCCCCCCAAAATGCCAAAAAGTAGGTGCCTGAACAGGGAAGCTTCTTTAAAAACAGGCATTTTGGCAAAAAACAGGGTTCGGAAGTCAATGCTCCTGTGTAAAATAATACCATCAAAATCCCTTCCAGCCTTGATTCCAGGCAGGTGTGTTCAAGACCCTCTCCACACAGTAACCCCGGGGATAGCTGCTTAAGCTCAGCTGTGCTGATGGTGAGAGAGCTGATGCAGCCTTGTCTAACCCTGTTTGGGATGATTGGGTGTGTGAGCTTCTTGCTTTGTTAGCATTGTTGCTTGGTAGGAACAATTACACTGATATTGTGCTTTTTCTTGGTGTAGCTGACTTCAGCTTGGGAAGCAAAATATACCAGGGAAAAAATTACTTTTAGAGTTGCTTTTGATCAAAGTGTGGAGCCATCTTGGTTTGATCATGTTGAGACTGACATTTTAACAGCATCTTAAATTTTGTCTCAGGATTGAAGGCCTTCTTGGCTGCAGCTACAGTGCTGAGAACCCCATTGGGGCATCAGCATGGTGCTGCCCCAGTGGGATTTCTACGAAAGATGTGAAAAGCAAAGGCTGAATTGTAGCTGAGGTGGATGAGCCTTGTCTGCTCCAGAGTGTCCCCAGGAGCTAATGCACATCTTGGCCATACCGGCAGCTAAGCTGTGTTTAATGACTTCCCTAAGGATTAGGATATCGTAATCCTGTGCCAGCGCTGTTGTGATGCTGCAGGTTCGGCCTAGCCCTGGGATTTCATTATCTGTAGGTTTCCTACAGGCGTGTCTGCCTCGGGGCTGTGGAGGTACCTTTGTTTCTGCTTACCTTGGACATCGGTTGGTGGCTTTTGCTGCACAAGTGTACGTTGTTCCACCGACTGAGCTGCTGCAGGTTTGTTTCCGTTGGGTCTCTGGAGTGGGCCCTCCTACAGGGAAACCACAAGCTGTAGCCATGGGGTTTGCTTGGGGCTGATGGGATGGGGACTCCAGAGATCTGACAGCCGCTGCGTTTCAGCTGCTGTCTTCTTGATGCAGACCCAGCGAACAAGAGCTCTCTGCCATGGTGGTAAGGCTCATTAGTCATCTTTCTGTTACGCTGAGGGAGTGGAGATTCCTCCCTGTTTCAGATCAAGCCTGGCACTCCTTTTCTCGCTCTGGTGTGTTTTGTTTGGAGGGCTAGAGGTGTCTGGAGCATGACTGTCTCCTCCTTGAGACCTCGGGAGCGTCCTGGGGACACATTTTCATGCTTGGACATGGGTTCTTGGCTAAGAGTTTAGCTGTTCCAGGATATGATGGACTGTACTCCTGTCTGAGATTCAGCTTGCTGTGATGCTTCTCTGGTCTGTGTTCCAGATCTACCACAACAATTTAACCTGAAGCCGTTAAATGGTTGGCTCTGTGGCAATGTGTGCCTACTGCAGGGAACTGAATTGCCTTTCTCATTTGTTTCTGGATCTAGGAACATCCCTAGAAACTCTCAGCTCTTAAATGGAGGCTGGGTGTCTTACCAGGCTTCAGGAAGCAGTGTTTGACTCCTGATGCCTTTAAGTGACCTGTCAGCTGGCTCACACTTTAGTTTTGACTTGTTGATCCACCGGCCGCACTGATAAAACAGTGTCTCCTCTGCTGGATTGGGGTTTGTGCACTGTAGCAGGCAGGACCAGCAGAGAACGGCTGTTGCTGGGTCACTGGTTACACCCTGGTGTTACACACAGTGTGCCAGGTCACTGCTGGGCCCGTGGGAGAAGGACCCACCAGTGCTCATGGGCTGGTGCCTCGCTGAAAGCACAGGAGACTGCCAGCTCCAAGCCTGGGCAGTAGTTGTTGCTGCTGTGTGGAGAGGAGCCTGGACAGGCAGCATGTGTTTTAACTATTGCAGAATCTGTCAAGATGGAGCACTGAAAGCTAATCCTAACTGGGCTCAAGAGTGCTCCTTTGCTTGTCTTGGCTTGGGGATGTGAGAGTGCAGCGGGTTCTGGAGGATGCAGCCTCAGGCATGGTATTTCCCTGTGCTTTGGTATTAACTCTGAGACCAAAGGATATGGGTGTATTCTCCAGCTATGTGTTTGCAAACTCTTTCCACTGGACTGTCCAGGCTGCAGAATGGTTTGGGCCCTGCATGCTTTGAAGACAGAGCTCTTCTTAAAGGAGTATCTCTCCTAAGGGTTTAGGGAGGAGGGTGAGCTTTACCATGGTAAGGTATAGAGATGCGAGCCACTTCCTCCAAGGGTTTGGATGCCAGCTGCTGTGTCCCAAATGCTTGTGGTATCTCTAGGATATCCTTGACAGTCCTAAGGTTAAAAGCTCTGAAAGTGGAAGGAATTTTTGTGGAATGCTTGGCTGTACTCTTACTGTTTTCCATTCTTGTTTGTAGCAGGACTGGTGCTGCCAGTTGTGGGAAGCATCAAATGCTAAATGAGGAGGAACGGGTCAGGCGTTTGGTTTGCTGCTTAGGTTTATTTTTGTCTTGCTAGCACAGACTCCTAGGGAAAAGCTTTGCCTCCTGCAGTAAGTGGTTCTTTAGCAGTAACAGGAGTAGAATATGGAGTTTCACACTTGTGCCAAAGCAGCCTGATGCGGCACTTCTTTTTATTAAAGATGACTGGCAATACTTTCTTAAATAGAGCTTCTGTGCTCCTCAGCTGCTTTTTATAAAGATGACTTAAGCTTGCTCTGCCTGTTCCCTCTTGCCTGAAGCTCGCTCTTAGCCCTACCTGTTTTACTCTTTGCTTGTAAACGCTGGTGCCTTGTGTCTCCAGAGTCCCAGGACCTTATCTTGGGGCGGGATGAGCTGTTCAGTAAACAAAGATCCCGGACCCCAGTGCTGAATAGATGCTAATAGTCTTAAACGGGCTGAAATCCTGAATAAATTGTTCAGGTCCTGCCTGGAGGCATCGTGTGAGTAGACAATTTAGTAGCTTATTCCTGTTTTTTCCTGCTGCTTCCAGGACAGGGTTTCCTTTGCTTTTTAGCTAAACGGTGTGGGGGGAAGCTCGCATGTGTGGAGAAAACTATCAGATCATGTGTTATGGCAGTAAAGCTGCTCATAATGATGGGGGGGTGGGGGAGGAATAACATGAGTCCTGTGCTAGGTTAAAGTTCCTGTGTCCATGTGAAATTAATTTAGTTTAGACCTGCCTTCAGCCACAGGCTGTGTACTGGAAAGGTCAGTAAGGAATGATATAAAGTAAAACCAGCTTGGTGCTTCAGGCTTGCTAGTGGGTGAAGCAGGGGGAGAAACGGGGGGGAAATAAGGCCCAAAACTCTTGCAGGAGCCCATCTAAAAGGCAGATGTATTAAATGTCTCCTTGACAAGTACAAATGGCCCAATTTAGAGCTATAGGCTTTTGTGTGTCTTGGTGTAGTAGGGGCTTGTTTGCCAGCCTTGCTGCAATTCAGTTCTCTGAGTTTGGCTCTAATTCGATTTGCTTAATGGCAAGGATTCTGCTCTGGAGGCCAAGACTGGCAAGGTTGCGCCTTCCTGCTCTTCTCTTTAATGTGTGTCCTAATTGATAGCGATACCGTTTGCTCAGCAGCAGTGTTCTGCGGCAGTGGCTTTTGGGTGGCGGGAAGACCTGCCCTCGGTCCAAAAAGGTTGGTTAGAGATGAAGTTTGGTGACTTCAAGATTGACAGAGGCTTGAATGTTGTGCAGCTGCACCTAAACAAGTCTGGATGTGAAAGTGGCTTGTGAGCAGACCTGGGGGAAGCAGCTGGTCCTGATGGTTCTCTGGACCAGCACAGGAAGCAGGAGGGGTTTAATCTTTTTTTGTGGAGAGGAAGCTTTAGAAGAGTGCTGGCTTGTGTAGGATGGTCCCAAAACCTTGGTGCTGGTAGATCAGTGCCTGTGGAGGGTGATGCTAAAGCAGAGCTGGTTTTGGGTAACCTCCCTTTGTGGTCAGGAGCTGCTACCTAACGGGGAGATCCAGAATTGGTTCTCTGCCTTGCCAAGGGAAACCTCAGGATTTGGGGCTGTGTTTTATTAGCTGAGAATCCATGTTTTTTCTGCAAGACTGTTTTCTGATGTGATTGTGGGGCTGCTGACTTGGGCCATTCCAGGATGTTCAGATTTCCCAAATATGGGTGGTGATGTGAGCCTTGCTCTCCTCTACCATGCTACGGAGGAGTTATACTGTGGTTTCTCATGGTGGCTGCCTTGACCACGTGTATCCCCCTTGTCCCCTAGTGTCAGGAGGCTGATTCTGGGGAGAAGGCACGTGCCTCTGTTAACCAGGTCTCTGTTTTAATGATGTGATGTGCTGGAGAAAAGCAGCAGGGAGCTTGTGTTAGCAACCACACTAGTTTGGGTGCTGTGGCCTTTAGTCTAAAGTTCATCCATCCTACCTGTGCTGAGCTGGTACCTGTGACTGGGATGGTCCTGGTCTGATGTGCTGTGCTGACAAATTGCAGACCTGTTTGCTTAACTGTTTCTTTAATGCCAAGAACTGTGCTTGAGTGTTGCTAAGACCTGGAGCTAAAGCTAATATGAGTACTGGAGGCAATCCAGACTTTCCATAATGTGTTGAAAGCTGGGTGGTGAGTACTAGCCTGCTTGACACTAGTACTTGTTCTTCTTTTTACCAGAGAGAAGATACTGGGAGGAGCATAAAAGACTGCTGGGATAGCCCAGATGCCCCTGCACTTTCTACTTGCAGCAATGCAGATATATTCCGCCGAATAAATGCCATGTTGGACAACTCTTTGGATTTCAGTGGAGTCTGCACCACGCCCGTCACAAAAAGCAAACGTGACATCCTGCCAGGTGATGTGTTTGGCTGGGTTTGAGGCGAGCTTGAGGATTGGGGGCTGGTGGAAGGGGGTGGGGGGGAGTTGCTTAGTGGGACCTAATGAACATGTGGTGGTGATAATCAGTGGTGTGGTTGTTGGCCTGTGCTTGTGAGCAGAGCTGCTTGGAGTCAGGATTAATGCTGTTTCGGTACCGGAGGCTTTATTTCTGTGCCTGGAATGGATAACCCAAGTATTCCCTGGCAGCATGGAGGTGCCTGGGAAGGCTTGCTTACATTCCCTGGGATGCTGTGGATCATTGCGTGGGCAGGATGTGAGCTCTCACTCCCTGACTCGCCAACTTCTGGTGTAGATATTTCCAGCAGACTCCTTTACAGCCTGCCTCTCCTGGAGGCCGGATTAGTTGTTAGTATGGTTGATCTGCTGCATATGTTCAAAGTGCAAAAGAATTTTGAATAACTCTGTTTGCTACAGGTCACTTAATCATGTATTTAAGAGCACACCAAAGCAGTACATGTAGGTGAGGACTTTCCTGCAAAGCAGGCTTGGGATTATGAAATCAGTGGTGCAAGTTTTGCTTCCTGCAGGCTGAGGGGAGTGGACGTATTCTGCTGTGTTGCACTTGATCTGCCTCAAAACAGAAGGTTTTGTGCCAAAGCTAAGAGTGTTGGGTCCAATCTTTTTTTTATGTAAGTGAAGGACGTGCTCTTGTCCCTCTACAGCAGGCAAGATTTGCCAGTAAGTGTACCTGCCCAGTGCCTGATGTTCCTCTTGCCAGTGCACTTGTGTGCAGCAGTACTTGTGCCAAGGATTTGGGCACTTGAAAGATTGCTCATGCTCCTCCAGCCTCTGAATTATAGGGTCAATAAACACTTTGGCCATTATTGGAAACAAACTGACCCTCTGGACTGTTCCCAAAACAAAGTGGGAAGTAAAGGGAAAAACGTCACCAGCTGGTGACCTTGCGGGCTGCTGTAGGCAGAGAAGCTTTTGTTGCAGTCACTTGGAGACAGGGTTGTCTTGTGCTTATGGACAATCTGATGAGTTTTAATCAAATGGGTGTAAAAAAAAAAGTTGCAAATGGGTGTCTGGGCATCCTGTGGGTCTGTTTGATGCTTGCACAGTGCAACTTTGTTCTGGACTAGCAAAATGACTGCTACCAGATGACTTCCAGTGCAGCTTAATCTCCTGGGTATTTGAAGGGCTTAGCACTGTGGACCAGGGGCTGATCTGGCCATGTGATCCTGTGCTGGCGCTGCAGAAATACTACAGGAAGTAAATCGTTTGCTTCGGAGTACGGATCTATAGCCAGCATTGCTTGAAACGTGCCTACTAAAATGGTATTGGAGGATATGCTGGCTACTCCTGAGCAGTTGCGTAGTGAATATTAACTAATTCAGGTCAGTGGTGTGATTAGTGGTGCATTTTTAGAGATTTGCTGTTGTACTGAGCTGTTTAGACTTTTTTTTTTGTCCCTTGGCACTGTGGTAGTCAGTGTTGTATCTGATCTTGATGCACTGGAAGCATAAGGGAGAAATAAACTGAAGTATTTTCCTTTATCTCCTTACAATGAGCTCATGAAAGAGTTGTTTCCAGCTGCCTTGTTGAAATCTTAGCTTCATAGTCCATTTATAATTTGAAATGGAAATGTTTCCTAATTAAGTTTTAGTTGACTTGCTAAAGTTAACCTAGTTGATAAAGGAAATACCTCTGCCTGCCAGAGCAGATTCATCATGTGAAGATGTGGGTTAGTTCTGGACTTGGAGCTGGCACATCAGTTTTAATTTGCAGTACTGTCTTATAGACTTCTAAAGCTCTTCTCTGAGGGACTGGGGTATTCACCTGGCATTAAAATGAACCTGCTTACTGACCTGCTGCATGTAAACCTCTGCTCAGTCTGTCAGTTACTGTGGTATCTCCTCCTAAGGATCTCTGGAGCAGAGGGTCTTGGCTAGTGTGGAGCTGCTGAGAGGTGGTGCCTTGATTGGAAACTAGGTGAATTTCCCTTCAGTGGTGTTAAACCGTGCTTGTGTTTCAGGCTATCAGGGAGTAATTTCTATGGAAGAACTCTTGTGGGACATGTACGGTGGGATTTGCGCATTTAAAAAAAAGGGAGGCTTCCTCTAGCAAACACTTTCTGCTGTGGAGCAACCAAAGTTGTCCTTTTTGGGACATCCTAAGCAATTTTGCTTGCTTCTGACATAGCAGTTGAGGCCATTCTCACAAGTGTGTGCTGGCACAGCCACTTGTGTGGTGTGGGGGCCCTGCTCAGCATTAAGTAACCTGACAGGAGGCTTTTGGTTTGTATCAAATCCCTTGTGCAGTGGCACATACGCTTGTGATGGCATGAGGAAAGAGGCTTGCTTGCTTCCCAAGGGATGCTGGGCACTGCCGAGCCAGGGCTAGAAAGTGACTGCCTTGGGTGCCCTCACCCTTTAGGCTAATGGAAATGTGATCTTTTTTCAGAAGGTGCCTCTGGGCTGTCCAGGAGACTGAGTACAACCTGAGCTACCCTGGCCAGGCCAGCAGTTATCATCCGTAAATATGTGGATGAATCAGCATCTGCCAGTGCATCGGCAGTTCAGAGTTATTAGTTTCCGTGCAGTCCTGGCCTTGTTTCCTTAGCATCAGAGTCGGGACCTCTTGGTCAGTGACGAGGGCCTGAATGCAGCAGGTCTGCCAGCATCCTTCTGTCTCTAGATCAGAAAAGTGCATGAGCTGCTTCCCTTTTTTTAATATGTTGCTGATGAGCATCTTCTCCATGAAAAAGTTGGTGCTGTCAGTAAGAATGTGAATCCTAGGACAGGTGTGATTGGCAAATGGGGATGTGCTTTGGTGCTTGGACCTTGGCCTATGTTGTGCCGTTCTTTTGTAGAAACTCATACCCAATGGCTGTGAGGCTGAGCAGCTGATAACTAAAATTCAGAATATAACATAGCCAACTGCCCCCTGTGCTGGGCAGATGGTTTAGAGCCTGAAGCAGGCTGCTGGAGTTGTTTGCCAATGCCTTTGAGTGAATGAGATGCAGCTCTGCAGGATCAGTGTCTTGCCGTTGGTGAGCCTGGCTTCTGGGTAGGTGACCAATGGAGCGGAGAGACCCTTGATCTCATGTGGTGTCTTGTCACTTGTGTTAAATCACTTCTGAAGAATTCATGAGCCTCTGGTGCTTTTACTCAGTGCAGGAACAACTTGTGTATTGTAGTTAGACTATATTATCTTGAAACTTGTAGCTTGGGCAGTCTTAATGAGCCTAGAGATCTGTATGTAGTAGCTATAACAGGTGAAAGGACTGTCTTTTTACAACTTAAGTGCTTTTGTTGGGGGGCTTGAGGAAGAGATTTTATTCCAGCAGGGGAAATACTTGTACTTTAATCTATTCATGGTCCCTCAAGCTTTTCAGTTGTCTTCCTCAGGTCAAACTAAATTTATCCTGGATTGGACTTGTGTGTAAGAAGCCCCTTTCAGTATTAAGAGGATTACACGTGGTGGAGAAGGGACGGCAGAAGTTCGTGACCTTTCACTAATGCTATTGGGGAGACATGTGTGGAGACACCTTACTCTGTGCGATGAGGTGTGCGGCAAGGCAGTGCTGAGAAGAGATCAGTACAGCAGCAGTCCGAGCAATGTGAGAGAACAGGCTTATTCAGCAGTCCTGGGTCTGACACAGTTGGAGAGTTATCCAGATCTGGGCAGAGCTGCATGGCAGAAGGGACTGCCACTGGAGATTTAGCTTGCCATACCTAATGTTAAATCTCTATAAAGATCAGTTTGCAGTTAATGATAATCCTTGGTGAACTTAGTTGCCTTGTCAAAATGATCCGAGTCATCAGCCCCAGCCTGACCACCACCGCAGTGGTTCATGGGTGCTTGCTCCAGGAGTTCCCCAAGCACTAGGCTTACATCGCTAGCCCAAATCAAAGGGTGCAGTGCAGCAGTGTGGTGAAAGCTGTAATTGTAGAACCTGTCTGGTAGCTTCTGGGACAGGATTGTGTGGTGCTTCAAAACACCTGCCTTTCAGGCTGATTCAGTCCTCTCTGAAGAAAGGCAAAATTTCTTCAGTGAGGTTGTGTAGTGCAGACATTAACCTTCAGTGGCTTTTAGTGTGGTGTTGGAGATGGGAGAGAGACTGTGGCCTTGATAGTCAGGAGTCAACATCTTCCACCAACTCAACTCCCTCCAGTGCTGCTGGAGCGCAGCCTGTCCTTCAGCAACTGGTTCCCAGGGAGTGTGGTTTTCTCCCAAATTTAAGGCTAATCTGCATGTTCATCACTGGTCTGAGTAAGAGTGTTAGCAAAGCCAATTGCTTGAGGTAGCAGGTGGTTTGTTTGCCAGGCTTTAAAGCTGGGCCTTGCTGGGTGAAAGGTGCTGCTACCAGACTTGGTTAAAAAAAAAAAAACCAACAACCAAAACACCACCACCACCCTAAACCAGCTTTTGAAATCATCAGCCTCTTCTGTAGGCACAACTTCCAGCTTAATTAAGTAGAACAGTGAGTAAAGCTCCCTCTTCAGCCCCTGTATGCCCATTTACTCACCTGGCTAAGCTGACTGGCTTTAACTGAAGGCAATGCTGGTTTAAAACAAATGGATTTAAAAGGGTTGTAGGTACCCCAAATGTCCCAGCAGCATCGATTTCCCTTTCATTAAGCTCTGCTCATTTAACTGAGACAAAGCAGCCATTATTTTGCTATAAGTTGACAGTCCATTGTGTGAAGAAATGGGAGATGTTTAAATGACTTCCTGTGGATGGGAGTGGCTTTGGGTGCCAAGTTCAGTGTAAAGGCTGTTAGTTGTGGCCCATCAGGTCCTAATGATTCTCAGTGGCTGCTTTATTTAAGGAAAACTGAAGGGCAAATGCAAACCCAGACTAGCTGATGACCAAATTGGCTTCCTGTTTGCTCTCAATTGCAGTCAATTAATGACTTATCACTTGTTTAGCCACCCAAAAAGTCCTCTCTGGTACTATAATGTAAATTCCTCTGTTCTTTGCTGCCCTGCAGCCATGAGAAAATGTGCC